TGCAGCTGCTCTCCCGTGCTTTCACCAGGATTCGCCAGACCCTGTTAGCATTGAAAGAAAATAGCCAGAGTTAGTGTGGCCGTCCCTTCCTCTTCCTCAGTCATGCAATACAGCAAAGCTCTTAGGAGACATAAAAAGTGAATTCTATCAGATTATTAAGTTTGCATCAGGACTTAATTTCAGAAACTCTGCAACTCTGAGAGCCACTTTTGCTTTTTCAGTTCTGCATAGGGCAGACTTAATTCTCCAGAGAGCTCCCTGATCTGGGAATAATAGGTCATAAATTTTGTGGGCTTGAGAGGAGGAAGATGAGGACAGCGAAAACCTGTCCCTAGCAATTTGTTAGTATATGGCTATTTAATCTGTCACATATTTACATCCTGCATGATGTAACTGGATGATTGAGATTTTAAATAGATGATCTTAATCCCTGAATAGCTAGATGGGTGCCTCTTAATTTTGCCCTGAATTTGAGTAATAACAATGTAACCTAAAATATCATTATTAGTGACTTATGTATCTCATTACATTTTGAAATGTTGTCAGTATTTTCTGGAGTGGCTAGAGAGAGGTTATCACTCATGAAATATTGAACCAATGACCTTAGTGATTTACTTATGATGAAAGGCCCAATCTAACATTTTATTGAACATGATATTTGTGAAAAATGGAACTGTTCATTTCTATTACTTAATCAATAGCACATTTACCCATTTATCACTAATTTGATTAGAGAAGGTCATTGCCGAGCTGGAAATTCCACTCCCTTCTCATCTACTTTAATTTTAATAACCAAGAGAGTGAAAAGAAATAGCAGAAGGTAAGAAAGGATGACTTCTTTACTGGCTAGTGGGCTTTCAGAATCTGGGCAGGTCTATCTGATTCCCTTGTCATTGAAATAAGAAGTATGAATAAGAAAGAGAAAAAAACTTTTTAAATTCCAGCTTTTTACCAGAAATGGCTCCATTCTCACCTAATGCAGTTTTCTGCTGATACGTTCATGAGAAAGAGGATAATCTTATATATGCAGCAACCTGACCTTTTATTTCTAAGATATAAGCAGCGTGGCCAATTTCTGCAATAATCAAAAGGAATTAAGACCTACAGGTACATGGCATTTAAAGTATATTACTAGAATGCATTTGTATATTGCTTTTTGTTTTTTTAAAAAAAATCTGTCATTGCAAGTCTTAATCATTTTATTTCTTAAGTATCTTTATATTCCAACTCTCTGTTGGGTGGCCCTGGAAAATCCCAAGAAACATGGCTAGAACTCCCTGAGACTACTGTAGCCAGTAGAGGTTCCTTCTAGCTTGGCGTTCAATATCCTGCCATTTCCAGTCTCTAGCCAGTGGAAATTTCTTTAGTTGTGCTGAAACAAATTTTAAAATGGTCCATTGATCTTAAGAGGTTCCCTTCATTCTCCCTGCCTGCCTCCTTATGCTAAACACTCCCTTGCAGAACGTCTGTGTGAAGTTTTTTTATGCAGTCAGACAATTGGCTCAGCTAGAAACATAGAAACAGAAGGGTCCTCCCGGGCCATCTAGTCTGATCCCCAGCTCCAGCTGGCTCCGCTCATGACATGCCCACCATGTGCATGTCCAGCCTATCCTTGAACACCCGCACCGATGGGGCCTCAACCACCTCTCGTGGAAGCCCATTCCACACCCTCAGGGTCCTAACTGTCAGGAAGTGCTTCCTGGCACCTAAATGGAACCTCGGTTCCCTGAGCTTTTCTCCATTGGAACACATGTTGCCCACTTCTGCAGGGGAAAACAGCTCTCTACCCACCTCCATGTGACACCCCCTCACATATCTGTATGTCACCAACAGATCCCCTCGGAGTCTCCTCTTCTCCAGGCTGAAGAGACCCAGCTCCCTCAGTCTCACCTCATCTGGCTTTCCCTGCCATTCAGAGGGTGCAGCTAGCTGAAGGGTACAGGACCTTCAGACATGTGAACAAATCTGGGTCTTTGGGGTTCTCCTGAAGGCCATACCTGTTACCGCTGCTGTTGATTGTGGGGTTGTTTCCTGACTTTTGTTCTCTTTTCCCATTCTGAAAAGGTTGAAATGCCTCTCTTAAGCTTAACTGCTAGTAAGAGACCCTTAAGCTATGGTAGGCTTACAGCTTTGCCTTGTCCTTTTGGCTTCTGCCATACAGTGCTGTGGAATGCAGGCCAGAGAGGTTTTCTGAAATGCAACTTGATCCTTGGGCTAACAGAACTTCCCCACCACTGATTTAGCTCTGGATTGTGTGCCCTTGTCTCAGGCTGAAAGCTTTTCTAGCCCTACTGGAGCAGCTCCATTCTAGGAGTCTTGCTCAGCCCTGCTACTCCAGATCCTTTAATTTGGATGTGCAGGGGGTCGAGCGTGCAAAGCAAGTGTGCTGTCTGTTACCTGTACTATTTCCATTGTTGTACAAAATCCTCTCAAAATTCACCTTTTCTATGAAGCCAAGGTGTGTGTCACTTTGTGACATCATCTTTTGCTACCCAGATGTCTTCCTCTTTCTTCCCCTATCCCTGCCTAAATTTAGATGACAAGCTCTTTGTGGCAACAAGCTGGTTTGTGTTATGTTTTGCATTGGCTTGTGTGAAGCACCATAAATGCAGGTGGCATCATGAAGCCTTTGAGCTGTGGATTGCGTCTTGTCTTCCACACTATTTGAGGTATCTATGAAACTCATAGGAAAGAACATCTGGAGGTTTGGGCAGAGGTGTTACCAGTATGCACACAACACAACTACTTCTTGTTCCAGTCCGCTGATGCTGGGCAGGCAGTGGAAGTGATAGGAATGGACTTCAGTGTAGGAATGGACTGCATGTGAAAAAGCTAAAACTTGGTCCATATAAAATGGAAGTGCTTCTGGTTAGGGTATTTTGATCATCTGGGAGAGAGCTGGCAACCCATTTCAGACAGCTCTCTGCTCCTTCTGTGGAAGGAAGCATGCACCTGGGAGGTATTCTTTCACCTAACTCTTTCTTTGGGTGCTGCAGTAGCAAATGCTCTCAGTAGTTTCTTTTACATGTCAACTGTCCTTTTAGAGCACGTGGGCCTAACAGCAGGAAGTGTTATTTCCAGATTAGATTACTGCAATTGCCTTCCACAGCAGCTTAAAAAAGTTCAGATGGCCTCAAATGGAGCAGATGGACTTGAAGGTTGGTGCACGTATTTCAGCTGCATTGTTTACCTGCCTGTAACCAGGATCAGTTTAAAGTGCTTTTCTTGGTCTTTATATCTGAAGAGACGGTCTTGGGCATGGTTACCTTGTGGACCATCTGTTCCCATACAGACCTACCAAGGCTTTGAAGCAGGAGTGCGGAGCACGTGGGCCTATGTGCTCCGCTGGTGGCATAAGAATCATATTGCTGCTTTATTTTGGCAGCAAACGATTATGTAGGTGTAAAGGACAAATGGAATGTTCTCTTCTCAAAACCTCTGCAGCAGATAGTCACCACTGTGTTGCAAAATGTTGGTAAAGTGACTGCTAAATTGTAGAGGGTCTGTGGGATGGAAAATGGCTTTTTCCATCCCAGTTTCCTGCTCCTGCCTGGCTTTAGGGCCTTGCTCTTGATCAAGCTGCAGTTTGCTAATTGTCATTTTACTTGTGAGTTCTTCAGTTTATGTAAGCCCCTTTTAATACTCTGTGGGTAGAAAAGGAGAATTGTCTTCATCATCTTTCCATCTTACATCCATTTAACCTGCCTCAAGTTTTGGCAGTGAATAAATTGATTATGCACCATATGAAGTAAAGACCGCTTTTGCCTCTCCTGAATCTGTTGCTGATCATCCCCATTAATACAGAATTCGTGCAACTGGATGGGTAGGAGCCTTATCAAGTTTCTCTCTGGGCAAATTTAGCCAATAAGTCCCTGGAAAGTAGCTAGTGAAATGGCCTGTGCCTTGGTGCTCTTTGCAGCTGCGTGAAAACATTGGAGAAGTTGAGCAGGGTCTCATCTCCCCTCATTGCATCACCATTGTCAAGAAGTCTGTACACTCTTCTGGGCTTGCTTTTCTGCCCATGTCTTAGATGGATAGTTGAAGAAGATGAGAAGAGCCATAGTGGATTGGGTCAAGGGTTCAGCAGTCTGCTCATATAGTGCCCAGCCAGAGGCCCCAGTGCAAAATCCCCGAGTAGGACATAAGTGCAACAGCCTTGACTCTGCTGGGCATGACTGTTGCCTTAAAAACACAACTAGCTTCTGTTTTCCCTGGTTGGTTCCTTGGAGATGCATCTTGCTTGCCGCAGGCCAGAGCCTGCCTTGGACAAGCTGGTTGTCCCTGAGATTTATTTATTTATTTATTTAAAACATTTCTGTGCCGCCCCCATTGCAACGAAGCCTCGGGGCGGCTCACAACATGAAAGCTCTTGTGAAATGAACGATCACAAGAGCTGTGAGGCTCCTTTGTCTCCATATCAGCTTGTAAGTATGCTTGAGTCAATGTCTCTAGCCAAGGACTTGCCTCATTTACCCCAATTTCATCTCTCCCCCCCCCATTCCCCTTGCTTGTCCAACAATATGTATTAAATTAATCTGCTCTCCCACGGCAAGTCATATATAAAGCAGGTTAACAGACAGAAACAGCATGGCATTATAGTGAGATGCAATATTTTAGTTGGTGAGCTCCTAGGGGCAGAGCCCTGCCCTCTGGTGCTTGTGCAGCCCCTAGCCCTGGACCAGTGCTCTATAAATGCTAATGCTGGCCGACTGGGGGAGGGGGGCATTTAAGGGAAGCTGGGATACTTCTCAGGCATTTCAGTGCTTGGAAAGTGTGGTGGTGGTATTGTTATTACTATTACTGATGTACTAAATAGATGGGTTTTGCCTCCCCCCCACCAACAGGTTCTAACAAAGCTTGGTTTCATTATGCTACCCATTTTGTGGGGCAGAATGTGCTGGAGTGTGTCTGATGGTTTCCCATTTCTGAGCAGATTTTGAAGATGATAGCAGCTTAACTGCATTGATTGTGCTATAATTGGATTTCTTTTCTTCTCATAGGCCTCTCAGGAAGAGCTGAAAGCTGCCTATCGCAGGCTGTGTATGTTGTACCATCCGGACAAGCACAGGGATCCAGAGCTCAAGAGACAGGCAGAGCAGCTCTTCAACCTTCTCCATCAGGCTTATGAAGGTCAGTGGATGTTGTGGAACTGCAGCTGCGCTTGCTTCAGTAGCCTGTGTTGCATTTTCCCAGCAGGTACATTGCTGGTATCCAGAGAGCGATCCTCTTCTGCACTTTATAAAGTTGCTTTTGCACGTTTGATTTTAGAGCATCGGTAGTTGGGCAGTATTCTTAGTGTTGTCCCATTAGTGGAAAATGTGCATGTTTGAAGTCATAGAAGAACCTGCAACCTCCAGCTGGAGAACCCACATCTGACTCAAACTTAAAGGGGGACATAAAAATATTATATAGCTCTGTACTGAAAAGAGCCTTTATGTAGGCCTTGATAGTGGAAGAATCTGCTCATAAACACAAAGTGACTGCTGGCTTCAGTTTGGGCTCAGTATATGCTCAAGTTTTTAGGGTTTATAAAGAAGCTCACAAGTTAAAGCTCAGAAATAGAGTCACCCGAAGTTTGAGAGTCCATTGTTTTTTAAACATGCATGCGCACATGGGAACTCAGCCCTTCCAAACCAGACTTTTTTTTACAAATCTTTGTTGTCTCCTCAAGGACCATTGACTATTGTAATTTATTCTCGGGGCACTTGAAGGAAAAAAAAATCTGTTGCATCCACCAGGACTTGGACTCTGGTCCAGGTTTATTGGATGAGTTTCCATTGGTGCAGCTTGAGGGAAGTGGACAGGGAGCTTGGTCAGATTCATGTGACCATCTCTGTACCAGATCCTTGCCCCTCTTGGCTTACAAAAGCCAGCAAGGAATAACCGGCTGGGCCAGGGGTTAATGCCTCCTGCCAAGAGCAGGGGGTCCCATGCTGCCTTAAGGGAAGTGGTGGGTCAACTTTTGAACTAATCCTCCCGTGACCCAGAAGATTTGAATACCTTTAGGCCAGTAGCAAATGTTCCTGTTCTCGGCAAGGTTCTTGAGAGGAGGGTTGCCAGGCAACTCCGGGTGCTCTCGGATGGAACTGATCAGCCAGACCCATTTCAGTCAGGTGTCAGGCCTGCTTCTGGCACAGAAGCAGCCTTGGTTGCCTGTATGATGACCTGTGCCAGGAGTGAGACAGTGTGTTCCTGTTGATGTTGCTGGTCTCTCAGTGGCTTTCAATGCCGTCAGCCATAGTATCCTTCTTAGATGATTTTCTGAGTTGGGAGTAGGGGGCACTGCACTGCAGTGGTTCAGCTCCTGCATAGAGGGGCATCTCCAGAAGCTGGTGCTTGGAGAATATTGTTCAGCCCCATAGTTTCTCCAGTATGGAGTTCCTCTGGGGTCTGTTCTGTCTGCTATGCTATTCAACATTTACATGAAACCAATGAGCGGGGTCATCCAGAGGTTTGGATGATGTCTGGCTGCCACAATGGACCGGATGAAGGCTAGCAAACTTGAAGTCAAATCCAGACAAGACTGAGATGCTGTTGGTGTGTGGTCTCTCCGACTGGATGAGGGGGTGTTGAGTAAGAGCCATGTGTAAGATGGGCTCTGCCTGGATTGACAACATTGTATGTGAAAAGGGTTTGCACCTGTAGCTGGACGCAAGCGGAAGAGCAGTCAGCAGAGCAACATGGTTTCAGAAAAGGCAAATACAATGTTAGCTGCATCAACAGATGCAGAGTTTCTCAGCTGTGGGGAACAAAAGTTCCCCTTTGCTCTGCTCAGCCCTGCCATCAGATAAGGAATGTGTTAGGAGAAGGTATAGCAAAGATGATCGGGACTACAAGCTAAGTAACATGCAGAGAGGTAGAAGGAACTGCCTATGTTTAGCTGGAGAACAGAAGGCTACTCTCTTCAGGAGAGCACTGCAGCCTGTTCTCTCTCATCCAAGACATGAAATAATGGGTTGAAGTTGTAAATTGCAGCTGAAGATGAGGGAAAACTTCCTGAAGGCCAGAGCAGCCAAACCATGGAGTCTTCTGCTTTAGGAAGGTGGCGGGCACTCCATCTCTGGAGGTCTTCAAGCAGAGACTGGATGGCTGTCTGCAGGGCTGCTTTAAACTGAATTCCTTTACTGAGCAAGGGATTGGACTCTGGCCCCAGTTAGCCCCTTCCAGTTCTGTGATTCTGGGCCAGGAATACCAATGGGTAACAACTTTGGGTATTGATGTAAAAGAAGGGCTCTGGGAAAGGAAAGGTGATTTTCCTTTGACTTCTGCACCCATGTTTGCTTAAAACCATCTAGCTGTGCATTACAAAACCTTTGTTTCTGAAAGTCTGTTAGGCAGAGGTGCACAGAAGGGGGGATTGCCACCTGCTGATCTGTCTTAAGGTGGAAGACCCTCAGATTCAGAATCTCTCTTCTCTTTCTTGAGCCTAGTTTATACTTCCCCAGCTTGAGGGAAGCTGCATCCAGACTGGATGGAAACAACTTGAGCTGAGAATGCAGCACAACCGAAGGACTCCAGGTTGGGGCAGGCTGTCTCAAGGGCATAGTTGCTTGGCAGGTTCCTTAGGAAAGGGCTGGGCAATCTGTGGTTTGGTCTCCTGCTCCCAGGATCCCTCACCATTGTCTGTGCTGGGCAGAGCTGATAAGAGTTGTAGGTCAAAACATCTGGAGAATGGACTGCTCTCCCCCTCATTAGCATTTCATTCTACCAGCATCCTGCTTTGTTTTGGTTTGGTTTTTGGCCAGAACTGTACATATCTCTTGGGTCTGATATTGGCTTCTAGTCCCACTTCCCTTTTTAATGTGTTTGGAGCTGTTCTTTGAGTTACAGGAAACATTAAAGCCAAATCAAGCCAGACCTGGAAGAATAGAGGCAGACAACGGCATTCTGATATGTCTCTCATGTCCTTCTCCTCTTGCAAAGATCTGAATACCCAGCTGCTTTAGAATTTTTTAAAGGATCACAGGCCAGCAACTTGTCTGGTGCAACACATGAGTTATTCTTTTACACATCTCCATAACTTGGTGCCTGCTAGGTCTGATGGATGTGGGTAGCCTCTCACAGGCAGCACAGTGTTGGGAAGCATCTGATGAAGTGGGCTCCAGTCCGCAAAAGTATGTTTCAAGTCTCTTAGCCTTCAAGGCATCATAGATTCACTTTTCTGTTGGCTACAAGTGACACAGAAACTCTTTCTAGAAATTGTTGTAAGCAGTCACCTGAACCTGCTCAGAAAGATCTCCAGGTCATCTGCAAAAACTTATCTACCTTTGTTAACCAAATGCTATCACTCTCCGTGCCACATAAGCATTTAGAAAGGCAACATAGCCAGGCTGCAGGCTGTGGTGGGTGGGTAGGGGAGAGGTCTCCTGGATTATCCAGGTTGACGCCTGGTCAAGAACCAAGTCCCCCCCTCCTGCCCCCCAACCAGAGCCTTGTGAATCCCAGAACCTGTGCTGGACGGTTTGGCATGAAATGCAGGGATTATGTGTCATCATAGGCTAGGGTACTACTTTTTTTTCTCTGCACCAAGCAGATAGAACTTCATGATCTGGAAAGGAAATTTTAAAAAATCCAACTGTGTCAGCACTGCAATAGTCATCCAAAGCAGTCATAAGTATAAGTGTTTCTCATCAGGCTGGTTTTGCTTCCCGTGAAATATTACAGTCAAGATGAGAATTTCTTCCGCTGCAGAAAGTATGGGCTATAATTCATTTGAGATACTCTTTGCTAAACTTGGCATGCAATTTTCCTATAATTAGACTTAACTAAGTATCACAGTAGATGTTTCTCTCTGAAATAAAGACTTTCCAATCTCCTATAAAAGCTTATCTCTTATCTTGGTTTGTGATGGGGGAAGAGTTGCTGGAAAATTTGATGTTATCAGCCACTGGGAAACTCTGGAGTATCCTGGGTGAGGATTCTGTACAGTGAAGATTACATATGCTTGTCAGATTTGTAGTTCTGCCATCACTGTGTATGTTTCTGCTCCAATTTTCATCAAAACTCTAGTCCTTTTGTTTATAGTTGGTTATCTACATTTGGTTGAGTTTTGCATGCATCTGAATTATTGATAGTTTGCAGCTTATTTGGAAATTTGGGGAGAAGTAACTGAAACATAAGTGAATTAGGAGCTTGCCAGATTTTTTTCCCCCTGTAGAAAAACTGCAGCACCAATAGAGCTTGTCGTCCAGAAGTTTTGGCTAAGAGGGAGACTAAAGTGAGATGATGACTAAATGATTTCTTATTAAATCCCAGAGATTAACTAAAGAACTTTGACTCTGGCATTTTTTGAATGGTCAGCATTTCTTTTTCTCCCATTAGACTGAGAAGTGGGTGGGATCATTTACAACATTCTTATTTAGGCCTCTGGATATATGGGAATACGCTCTTAATGGCAGTGAGGGGGAAGTGATGTTTGTGAAAGTGAAACTCTACAGCATTCATTTTCCAAGAGCTGTGCTTTTGAAAAATTGACTCTAAAAATAACATTCCCCTGTAAACTGGCCTCCCTTAAGAGATTATGAGGATACACTTAACGTAAATCTAGATTTTCAAATAGGTATATCATACAGGTACTCTTGATTGACAGTGTAGCATTTCTGAGCATCTGCTCCATGGCCTGGTTCTTGCCTTCTAAAAATATAGTTGGGACGGGCGGGAGAGAGAGAAAGCAAGAGTATAAATTTGTTTGTTTCAACTCTGCCTCAAATGCTACAGGCTCTAAACCTGTTCCGGTTTTAATTTTCAGTGCTCAGTGACCCACAGACAAGAGCTATCTATGACATCTATGGAAAAAGAGGCCTTGATATGGAAGGATGGGAGGTAAGAAACATAGAAACTGAGCGAGTCAGAAGGGGTCTCCTGGGCTATCTAGTCTGACCCCCGGCTCCAGCCGGCTCCGCTCATGACATGCCCACCATGTGGACGTCCAGCCTATCTTTGAACACCCGCACCGATGGGGCCTCAACGACCTCCCGTGGAAGCCCATTCCACACCCTCGGGGTCCTAACCATCAGGAAGTGCTTCCTGGCATCCAAATGGAAGCTTGGCTCCCTGAGCTTTGCTCCATTGGAGCGCGTCCTGCCTTCCTCTGCAGGGGAGAACAGGTCTCTGCTCACCTCCATGTGGCACCCCCTCATGTACCTGCATGTCGCCAACAGATCCCCTCGGAGTCTCCTCAAGAAGATTTTGGACAGAACATAAGAAAAGCCATGCTGGATCAGACCCAAGGTCCATCTAGTCCAGCACTGTACCCACAGTGGCAACCAGCTGCCCACAGAATCCCTCAAGCTGGATGGGTGCCAAACTCCTCCTGCCCAAGCTCCTCAGCATGTGGTGTATGCGGGCCTGTCATCTCTGGTAAAGGAGGTGACCCATAGCCAGCAAGGCTAGTAGCCTTAGATAGTCTTCTCATCGATCTGTCCTTTTTCAAGGCATCCGGATTGGTGGTCATCACCAGTGGCAGTGCGTAGAGAATCATATGGTGGGGTGCCCTTCCTAGCTGCTTTCATTGGTGTAATCCAGGTTCTTTGGGACAAACTGAGAGGTGGAACTGAGGCCCCTCCCATGCCGCCCAGGATAATCCACTGCTCTCCCCTCCTGCTGCCCTCCCAGTAGTGAGTGGCCCTTTTTACCCAGTAGGAAATTCTTTCCTGTCTTCCAACTTGGACATCAGTGCTATTCAATGTTACGTAGGTAAGCAATAAACCTTACATGATCATACAACATACGCATGTCTGTAGTGTGTCCATGTCACAGTGTTTAAGGAGCAGAAAGAAAAGACATCTGTCAACTCAGAAGAGCCACTTGCTAGTCGTGAATGTTCTGAATTCAGGCTCATTTTAAACTTTCATGCTGTGCAGTAGCTCTGGAAGCTTAAGAGTCCCCAACAGAGGATTGTGTTGCCACACAGGGAGGCATCTTACAATTGAGTATGAGTGACGGTCTCCTCCAAGATGCTGTTTTCTTTGGTGGGTATCTTTACAGACAGACGAATTGTCTGTTGGGAGTTGCTATATGCAACTGACGGGCAATTCTGTGCAAGTTTAGATGGAAAGTTCTAGACCTTTGGGGCTGTAGGCCTTTTTTCTATCTAAACATGGGTAATAGTACACCTGGGGGCACTCTTGTTTTTACTCTCTTGTCTTAGATGGTACTAATTCAGACAGAACCAGGAGAGTTACATGTCTGAACAGTTTAAAACGAAACCAAAAATGAAACCTGCCTGAGCGTGCTCCCTGACAAGCTGGCTCTAGTTAACATGGAATTGTTGCTGTTGTTGTTATGCATTATATCTATTCCGCCCATAGCCAAAGTGCTCTGGACAGTTCACAACATTAAGTCACCCATCCACATTTCAACCTCACTTGACTCTGCTAACTTCCAAGATTAGGCACTTCAGGCTGTACAGAAAGCTTGAGGACTAGGAATGTGGAGGAATCTGTACTGAACCAGGAAATCAAATGAATTCTCTGGGCATAGTTCCCCAGACTATGGCCTGCTTTGTTGCAGCCTTGGATCTGAGTTCCTAGTCAGCATACCCAGCATTTGTGGATACTCTCCAGGAATCAAAACCCATGTGCTGCACAAGCAGCATCTCTCTTCTGCAGCAAATGCACCAGCCTTTGTTCCTGTTGCCACACCTGATCAGAAAAAAGACTGCCGCTTGCACAGCCTGTATTCTATAAGTATTTATGGGCTTACTTTCTGCTTGGCTCCCTTTGCAAAACTAGGCCGAGCATGAGAAGAAGTCTGTGAATTCTAGAGGGACAAATTCTGGTGAACTTTTTCCAAATCCTGATGGGAACTCACTCCAAGGTTCTGTTCCCCACCTGCAGTCTGAAGTGACAATGTCCATATAATGCAGCTTACCATGTTCCTTGGCTCTAACACATAGCAGCCATTCTAGTTTTAGTCCATTGAGAATAGATCCTAGAAAGTTTCATAATATTGCTGTGTTTGGGAGTGGAGAACACCATTTCTTTCTGGAGTCAACATCAGAGCACCTGAGGATTAAACACTGGTCTACCTTGCCCTGACATCAAGTTATGCTTGCTGTTGTTAGTTGCGAAGTCATGTCCGACCCATCGCGACCCCATGGATAATATTCCTCCAGGCCCTCCTGTCCTCCTCCATCCCCCGGAGTCCACCCAAGCTCACGCCGACTGCTTCAGTGACCCCATCCAGCCACCTCATCCTCTGCCGTCTCCTTCTTCTTTTGCCATCTATGGTTCCTAGCATCAGGGTCTTCTCCAGTGAGTCCTTCCTTCCCATTAGGTGGCCAAAGTATTTGAGCATCATCTTCAGTATCTGGCCTTCTAAAGAGCAGTCGGGGTTGATCTCCTCTAGGACTGACTGGTTTGATCGCCTTGCAGTCCAAGGGACTCGCAGGAGTCTCCTCCAGCACCACAATCCAAAGGCTTCTCCACAATGAGCATCACGCCTTCCTTTTTTTCTAAATTTGTGTGTCAGTAGAGGGAATAGATTGGATGCCTGTCTGCTGATGTCACAAACATGCTGAGGCTTACACTGTGCCTTGACATGATGTAGACAGGGGGGGTTGGAGGACTCTTCCTTCAGGAGTTGCATTTGAGACTACTGCTCATCTTCAATAGGACATCCTCGGTCTGCTGTTCTCAAATAGATCTCTCAGACCAGAGACAGTTGCTTTGACTTCAGTGTCACATGGTTGCCAGGAGCAAAGATTTGTCTAGCTGGGTAGATAAATAATCTGGTGCCTTCTGTAAACATTATTGCTCAGATTGAGCAGATGTCTGGTTTAGTATGGCTGCCATTGTGCCTTTATTTCTTTCCTTGGAGAGTACCCCTGGCCCAGGAAGCAAGGCGCTTGTCCAAATGTGTGCACGTTCTGCAAGACTTGATCTTTTGGGATAGGGCATCTACCCAGAATATTAGCATTTTGGCTAATTCAGACTTGCAGCTGGGATGGAACTCTGCCACTACCCAATAGAGCCAATAGGCTGCACCACCAGTGCCCAGGTGCACTGATGGACTCATCCATGCTGTGGCCAAATGCAGCAGGGTGTAAAGAGAGTTCCTCTACCAAGTCATAGCACTCCCTGTTCGCAGGATGCTTCCTCTGAAGTGTTCCCATGGTTGTGAATCGCACAGGCTTCTGGCTGAACCTGCCTAAGCACCTTGTCTGCATCCGCAGACCACAAAAATGAGACTGATTCTGTAAGACCATACTAAGTAGTGCTCCACCTGCCTCCGTAGGAACAGTTGCAGCAGCAGCATCACGCTTGGAGTGGATTTCATTCCCTCTCCTATAATACTACAACCCAAAGGGGGCATCCCATGAAGCTGATGGGTGGAGATGCAGGACAGCTAAAACGAAGGACATCTTCACACAGTGTATACTAAGCTATGGCATTTGCTGCCATGGCAAGTGGTGATGGCCACCGATTTGGATGGCTTTAAAAGGGATGGGACAGATTCACTGAGGAGGAGGCTTTCAGTGGCTACTAGCCTCCTGGCAATGAACATGCACATGGTAGGCATGTCATAGTGGGGCTGGCTGGAGCTGCGGGTCAGACTAGATGGCCCAGGAAGCCCCTTCTGACTCACTTTGTTTCTCTGTTTCTATATTTCTTTGTGCGGTCTCTGTTAGTACTAGAGGTGGCATGCCTGCATATACTGGTTCCTGAGGACCTTGAGCAGGTGAAGGTCTTGCACCCATCCTGCTTGAGGAATCCTGGGAGCAGCTGGGTTGCCACTGTGTGTACTGCACCAGATGGATCATTGATCTGATTCAGCATGGCATTTCTTATCATCTTACCTATCAGGTCAGCTGCCTCATCCATAATGGCTGATGTTTTGTCATGGACTGGTCTAGTGTTATCCAGCACCACCATTAAATGGGGTGGTGGGTTGACAGGAGAAAGGTCCATTGGATGGATAGAGAACCTAGCCTGGAGGCACTACAAAGTAACAATAGTAATAATAATAGAGAATTTTGATGCAGAAAATCCAGTTTGTGCCTCTGCTTGGCTTATGGAACTTACAGTCCTCACAAGCCTCTGATAGTCATCCTCGTACCTTTGTTGGGAGGCTTAGGTGCTCCCTTTGGAGAATGGGGCAGGTACAGCATGTGACAAGGAAGAACAGATGGGCGCCTCTGGAAAATCTCCAGTAAAAAATACCAGCATGAGCATGAAAGATAGACTGGGCTGTTTTTGGCCTCATTGGGATGCCAGCAGACCAGCATGCTTAACCTTGCAGTTAGACCTGTCGGATGTGTTTGGAATGTGTAACTTGCTTTATAATCTGATGACTAGAAATTGAGTGAATTGAGACCCTTGGAACCATTTTCGCTTCCTTCTGCCACGAGGAATGTTAGAGATAAAGTAATTTAAAGTCATTAATTCAGACTTGGAGAGGTTAAGCGGCTCAGGTTTGCCACAACAAATCTCACCTTTTCTGGCCTTGCCAGACCTTGCTGATTTAATCCCCTCGTTTCCATCAAGTCATTTTAGAGTTTGGCATGGGGGTGGTATGTGTTTCTTTCTCAAACTCATTCCTTTAAGTTTTAACTGCAACCTGTTTGCAGACTTGGTGAACTCTGCAGTTAACTGATCACAGATCTCTGCAACCAAAGGAAACGTTTCAGTTCTGGGCCAAACTGTATTTTGCTGTTTCTTGAATCACTTTCCTGGGGAAGACAGTTCTTTCTTTCACCATGAAAACAGGCCACAGAGAGTGGGACTGCTGCAGGGGCCCAGCAGGGCACCTGACTGATGCACCGTCACTCTGGTGTGGTAACTTTTTAAGAACGAGCCCAGAAGCTCCTGGTTCATGCATCACCTTTGCCAAGAACCCACCAGCTCCAACTGCCCCACCCCACAACCTCAGGCCCATATTTGCATATGAAAACAAAAATATTGACTTAAATTGCAAGGTTGTAAGGATTGGTAAGCCGATGTGAACTACTCTTGAGAGCAGTCCCAAGAGGGCCCTTGGGCTGATTTAGTGGAATATTAGTTTAATAAATAAATAAAGCACGAGAGTGCCATGTTTTGTGTGGGCTGCCCACTAGGCTTACTAGGCCACGTAGTCCTTTATGATCATATTGTGTGCTTCTGTGTTGTGTAAAAGCATAAAGGCCCTGATTGAGGGAGGAGGAGGAGGCACTGAAACTGACTCTCAGGGAAATAAGCAAAGCTCTTGGTCTTGCTTTAGAGAGAGAATGTTGCGATAGGAAGAAAGTATTGGAACTTTCCAGCACCTCTGCTCTCATCTGTGATTAAATTCTTTGCTGTTGCTTGCTGGCCTTCCTGCTGCTGAGTAAACTCTAATGCCTGATTCCTTCTGCCACAGGTGGTGGAGAGGAGGAGAACCCCTGCTGAGATCAGGGAGGAATTTGAACGTTTGCAGAGGGAAAGGGAAGAGAGGAGGCTTCAGCAACGGACAAACCCCAAGGTAAGAAGCCAGAGGGCACAACTGGCGGGGGAACCATGACCCACAGGGAAGAAATACAGTGAACTTGTGTGTGTCCTTCTCTGTGGACTTCTGTGCCATGTGCTACTTCCACTAACAAAGCAATCTGCCTTCATATGGAAGTTGTGGAAGGGCAGGGTAGGGAGTGCTGTTGCCCAGACAGCTGGTTGGTCACTGGGTCAACAGAACTCTGGGCCAGACAAACCGTTAGTGTCATCCGGACAGCTTTTTTGGTGTTCTTACATTAAGCTTGCCTTGTGGACCTACTGGTTAGGGTTCTGGTGCAACAAAGTTGTACAGCTGTGAATCTTACAACCTGAAGCATTTTGCATATGGAACTATGACACAGCCTTAAAGTTAGGGGAATCAACTTAGGTTTGTTTCAGTGAGTATTCCAATGCTGGCTGCAGATGGAAGTGTTCCCTGGTACTTCAGAGCAGCACCAGGACTTCTCCCCTTTATCTTACTGTTCTTCTTTTTCTTGTTTTTTGAGCACTATCAATGTATATGTGGGTTTACAGACCTCAAGAAGCTAGAGGGTTCAAGCAGTCCAAGGTAAGATAGTAAGGGAAAACTTCAAAGTAGAGCCAAGAGCTGAATGGAAGCAATTGGTAGAGCCAAGGCTGAATGGAAGCAATTCACGCTGCGTTTTGATTGGTGATTAAGGGTAACATTTAAGCCAAAAGCATGCAGAGGGTCCTGTGTGTGTTCCCTGGTATCTCTGGCCAAAGGGATTAGAGCTTTGCCTGAAACCCTAGAGAACAGCTGCCAATCAAAGTGCGCAGTCCTGGGCTAGAAGGTCCGCTGATAGAAGGACGCTTCCAGTGCTCACCTCTGGAGCGCTTGACCCCTGGCTCTGCACAGGGGTTGGCTGGAGCAGTGGATGTTCCAGGATCTTAGCTGCTTGTGTACCCCGGCTCAGGATGGGTCCTGCTGAGCGGAAGCACATAAGAGGTCTCACACTCCGCATAGTTACATCAGGCCTGGTTGATCCAGAGACTTTCATGGCTAGCCTACTCAGGCATCAAAAGCTGTCTGGCATTTCCAGTGGGCGTGATGTGCTCGGAGCACCGGGATGGTGCAGAGGATTCGAGTTAGGCTGGGACCAAGTTAGCCTGGCATGGAGAACTCAGCATCCTCTTCTCTTGTTAAAGTGCTCCCTCAGTCTCTGGAATATATTTATTTTCACATTCATACTCAATCCTGTCTCTGAGTCAGAGCTCTTACAGCATCTTCAAAGATAATGCTCATATAAAATACCAAATATATTATACGTAGAAACATGTGGCTGAAATTACACAGCACTAATGCAGATCCCCAGGAGCCTAAAAGTTTGCACAAATAAACATTTCTTTCAAATTCAGTTTTGCTTTTCTTTTTATGATCTTCCCTCCCCACTTCACTCCCACAGCTGCTGCATTTTATCCATCGTTGCAGTGTTTCCCTCTTTTTTTTCCACTTGTGGTGTGGTAAACTTGCCATGAATCTCTCATATAGTGTTTCATGCAAATTTGAACAATACAGTAGGTTCTTTTCTAAATGTTAACATAAGTCCAGATGTGCTCCATTGGGTACCAGCTCAGAGATTACCTTGCTCCTTACAGCTCTTAAGGGAATAGGGTAGTCTTTCCATCAGGGGCCAAGAATGAATTGTTGAACCCCTGGAAATCCTGTTGCTACCAAGACTGTAGCTGAGGGAAATGTTCTTGCCCTTTCCTGCATTTCTGGCTGAACGGGACATTGTGAGCCGCCCCGAGGCTTCGGCGAATGGGGCGGCATAGAAGTCTCCTAAATAAATAAATGAATGTGGATAGTCTCTTGGTCCATTTCCCTTCCTCTTCCATCTCCAGGCCACCTGGTGGTAGCTGTTGTAAACTATATATGTGCATGGGTCATCTGTTTCTAGTCAGTGTTAATGAATACTCCTCCTCCTCTGTGAACAGGATCAGCCCATGAGAAGTTTCCCAAGGAGATGGAAATTGGCAACCTTGGGAGAGTGTCATGCTCTGGTAACAGAGCCATAGTTCAGATCTCCTCTGACCCCGCAACACCATATTCTGCCACTGTTCTCTGGCATTTGAAGTTTTACCAGACTTTCAAGATTGTGGCCCACCTTGTATGTAATACCAAGCCACTCTGTGCTTTATTGAAGGCTTTGAGTGAACCTATTCCTGCAAATAAACTACCATTACTTTAACCACCTTAAACCACAAATAGAAGCCATGGTTTGTTGTTAGCTTACAAACTCTGGTTATTTAAACATGATTTGTTGTGTTGTCTGACTCTTAAACTGTGGTTTATCTCTGGCTTCTCTGAAACAGAGGCACCCAGCAAGAGCAATCTGAAAATGATGAGCATGAAACCAGAAATGGGGAAAATGAGCCATGGTTTACTTGTCTGCAACAGAACTTATGTCTAAAGCAACAAATGATACCATATTAACCATGGTTGCAAATATAGCCTGCCTTTGAAACTGTAAGGACCAGAAACTTACATTTCTGAAGATAAATTGTAAGGTCCTCTGGTAGCTGAAAAGTGTACCTTAAAATATTCCATGTGTTTTGCCAAATCGTAGAATGATCATGGGACTGATCAGATCTATCGTGCAGAGAAGAAATAAGGGAGGTGGAGTTGCATTATATGTTAAAAATATTTATCCCTGCATAGAAATAGAGGAAGAGGAGCCTGGTAGCCCCACTGAGAGCATCTGGGTCAAAATAAATGTGTCGGTGAATAAAAGGAACATGTTAGTTGATTCCTCCTGACTGTCAAGAAGATGAAGATAATGCTTTTGGTTGTGATGGGGGGTGTCAATTTTCCTGGTATCTGTTGGGAGGCAAATTCTTCCCAAATTGGCTTCTCCAAGAAATGATCAGCACAGCTCTGATAACTTTCTTCTACAGAAGGTGAAGGAAGGAACTAAAGGACTGGCTGTCCTTGACTTAATACTAACAAGGATGACTTAGTGGGTTTAATGGAAATTACAAGAACTCTTGATTTTAAAGGAAGCAGAAACTCAGTATGGCCATATATATACTCTGGATTCTGGGAAAGCCAATTTAACAAACTCAAGGAAATGATAAGTAAGGTTTCATGGCAAGGAATCCAAGATGGGTGGGAGGTTTTTTTTTTTTTGTAAAAAAAATTCTAAAGGCATAATTATATGCAATTCAAACAAAAACAGAAGATTGGATGCAACAGAAGGACTCAGTGAATCTTCACAAAAAGCTTGAGTTGACCTGAAAACAAAGTGCCTGACCTTGCCTAATCTTGGAAGCTAAGCAGGGGTGGGCTTGGCTAAAATCTGGTTAAATGTTGTGAACTGTCCAGATAGCTTTGGCTGTGGGTGATATAGAAATGTAATGTAGTAATAAAAATAATAATAGGACACATTTAGAAAGTGGAGGGAAGGCCAGGCAACAAAAGAATACAGACAGGTGGCAGAGAAGTACAGGAATATAATCAGGAAGGCTAAAGCTGAGAATGAGCTGAAGCTAACATGGAATACTAAAAGTGACAAAAAAGCCCTTTTTCCAGTACATGCACAGTAAAGGACAGAGAAAGGAAAGGGTGGTTCAACTTCTCAGTGACGAGAGCAATTTGATAACTGATGACAAAAAGCCAAGGAGCTCAATCCCTGCTTTAGCTCTGTCTTTCCCCAAAAGCCAGTCTGTGACAGAAATGAAGAATAAACTGATTGAGGTGTGAGAGTGAGGAACAAATGGTCAAGGAACACCTACTTTCTTTAAATGAGTTCGCATCTCTAGGGTCTGGTGAACTGTGTCCTAAAGTAATAAATAAAGTGGCAGAACCACTGTCCATTATTTTTGAGAAACATGGAGGATGGATGACCGGACGATGTCTAATGTTGTCCCTGTCTTTGAAAAAGGGCAAAAAGGAGGGCAGTACATACCTGCTAGTCTGTCATCAATCTCTTGGAAAATTCTGGAGCAGATCATAAAGAAATCAGTCTGTACACACTGTCAAGACAATGAAAGAATTGCTAGAAGCCAGCTCGTATTTATCAAGAACAAGCCTTGCCAAACTAATCTGATCTCATTTTTAATTGGATAACATCCCCAGTGGACTATGGGAATACTGTGAATGTGATGTATCTTGGCTTTAGCAAAGCTTTTGGTAAAGTGTCCTATTATACTTTGTCTGATCATCAAAGTAGCTAAAAGTGAACTAGATGGAATAACTGCAGGGTTCCGTCCTGGGCTCAGTGTTCTTAAATGTTTTTATTAATGACTTGGATGAGGAGGTGCAAGAAATACTGATCAGATATGCATATGACACAAAACTGGGTGGAATAGCTAATACCCTGGAAGACAGAAACAACATTCAAGGTGATTTTGATAGGTTGGAGTGCTAGACCGAAAGCAATAGAACGAAAAATTAAAAGAAAAAAATGCAAAAGTCCCCACCTAGAAAATGGGAAGCAACTGCAAAATTACAAGATGGGGATCCTTGGCTCAACAAAACTACAAGTGGCTCTTGGAATTGTTGTAGATCACAAACTGATTATGATGGATCCAGTGAGCCAGGGACTTGGAAGAGGCACTGAAGAGGCAGCTGAGCAGCCACCTGAGAGAAATGCTTTAACTCGGAGTCCTGCCTTGAGCAGGAGGCTGCCCTTGGAGGCCTCATGGGCCCATTCCCACTCTAATATTTTATGGCTTCAAGCCCCCCGTCAGGGGGGCAGGGCACCAGATTCAGGTAACACACTTAAGCCACTGTGGCTTCAAAATATAGTGTGTTGTACAAAGCCAGTTAATGAAACCATTGTTATTTTCATCTTGGCTTGCAGGGCAAGTTCAAACCCGTTTGCCAGTTAGGATAAATCAGTGAGCTGTGGCTGGCTTGTGTGTGTAGAGCGTAGCCTTTCCCCAGTATGTGAGATAAAATGAATGCTTCCAGTGTCCAAAACGCAGAAATGGTAAGAAAAGGTGACTCGATTTAAGAATAAAAAGCTTACCTAT